CCCATAGAGAAGAATTTCACAGGAAAACACCGGAGCCATGAAGGGACTCAGAGAAGATAGTTAATGGTGGAGCACTACAGAGAAGATGGGTCACAAATTCTCACTGCTCAGCCATCTTTCTAGAGCCAGCTTACAGCAGAGACATCTTTCTGTTCCCATCTCCATAAATCCTCAGATCTAGAATATTCCCAAGCCTCTGTGTCATGTAGTGCCTTAAGTGTACCTTTACATAACACGTCCCCCAATTATTTGAGTCAGCCTGTGACAAATTGTGTTTTCTGAAGATGGTCACATCAAAGTGTTGACCAGGCTGAGTACTTATTTGGAGACTCAGGGGAAATCTGCCTCTAAACTTTCTAGCTCTTTCAAACATTTGTTTCCATGCAGCTGGAGGTCTGAGGTCCCCTTTTTGTTGCTGGCTATCAGCAGAACACCCACATTCCTAGCAACGTGAAATCTTCTCGTGCTTTAAATCTCTGACTTCTACTTGTATGACCAGCCAGAGAAAATTCTGATTTTAAAGGGTATATATGTTAGGTCAAACCCACCAGCTAATCTTCCTTTCTTAAGGTCAATACATTTGAGATATAATTACCAAAATCCCTTCACAACTCCTACGTTGGTATTTAATCAAATAACTCGGATGCATGCCCCAGGGTCAGAAGTCTTGGGGGATCCTCTTAGTATTCTGCCTACTGTAAAGTCTATAAGAGGACTTCAAAGAGTTTATAGGAAATGGAATTTTAAAATAAAAATAGGGCCAGTCAGGTGAAGTGGTGGTTAAGGCAACTGGAATCCACATGGCCGACTGTGTGGTTCAAGTCCCAGACCTAGCGGCTTGAAAAATGTTAGGTGTGTGTGAGTGTTTGCCCAAAATCCCAAGAAGAGAATAGATTAGAAGGGCTTGCAGGGTGGCCATCCCCATAGGGAGTGATTTCTCACTTTCCCTCTGCATCTCTGTCTCTCTCTGGTGAGCATATGTATCCTATAGCAGAAACTAAAATAATAATAATAATAATAAAATAAAAACTTTATTTTTCAACATAAGTGCCAAAAGTTCAAGACATTTTTGTAATACTAAGTGGTGTCAGTGACACCAGCAACTTAGACTATCCTTAAAGAACTGTGGGTCCTGAGAATTTAACCATGTAAATGCAGTCTTTTTTTTACATTAACTGAAGAAACAAGTGCCCTTTAAAGATTAGAAAACTAAAGGAGTCAGAAGGAATCAAATCAGGACTGTGAATGTCTCAAGATTTCCAAGACATTCTTTAAAAATTGCTCTTGTTTGATGAGAAGAATGAGAAGAAGTATTCACTACGGTTCAAGTTCTGGACCCAGCTGATTGAAACTCATACTAAGCACATATGCATGCATGCTCAAAACCCTGAGAGGAGAATGGAGGAAAAGGTATTGCAGCATGGCCATCCCTCCTTGGGGGGTGGGGGTGGGTGATTTCTCACTTTCTCTGTGTCTCCTGCAAGTCCATGAGACCTATAACAAAAAAAAAGCTCTAAAAAAAAAAAAAAACACCTTTCTTAGTGCCTCAAACTAGATACTGTCAAGACATGGTATAACAAGTTAGCATGCATTTATTTTTGTGCAAAAAAATAAATGAAACTCATACTTTTTTTTTTGGAGAGGTTTTTGCTATAGGGCGTGTGCACTCGCCAGACAGACAGAGAGAGAGAGGCAGAAAGCAAGAAATCACCCTCCAGGGGGGATGGCCATGCCACAATCCCTTCTCCTCCATTCTCTTCTCAGGATCTTGGGCATGCATGCACACGCGCCCAGCGTGAGGGGTTTTTTTTGGGTTTTTTTTTTTTTTTGGAGAGATTTTCACTATAGGGCACGTGCGCTCACCAGACAGAGAGACATAGAGACAGAAAGCAAGAAATCTAAAAATAGGGCCAGTCAGGTGAAGTGGTGGTTAAGGCAACTGGAATCCACATGGCCGACTGTGTGGTTCAAGTCCCAGACCTAGCGGCTTGAAAAATGTTAGGTGTGTGTGAGTGTTTGCCCAAAATCCCAAGAAGAGAATAGATTAGAAGGGCTTGCAGGGTGGCCATCCCCATAGGGAGTGATTTCTCACTTTCCCTCTGCATCTCTGTCTCTCTCTGGTGAGCATATGTATCCTATAGCAGAAACTAAAATAATAATAATAATAATAAAATAAAAACTTTATTTTTCAACATAAGTGCCAAAAGTTCAAGACATTTTTGTAATACTAAGTGGTGTCAGTGACACCAGCAACTTAGACTATCCTTAAAGAACTGTGGGTCCTGAGAATTTAACCATGTAAATGCAGTCTTTTTTTTACATTAACTGAAGAAACAAGTGCCCTTTAAAGATTAGAAAACTAAAGGAGTCAGAAGGAATCAAATCAGGACTGTGAATGTCTCAAGATTTCCAAGACATTCTTTAAAAATTGCTCTTGTTTGATGAGAAGAATGAGAAGAAGTATTCACTACGGTTCAAGTTCTGGACCCAGCTGATTGAAACTCATACTAAGCACATATGCATGCATGCTCAAAACCCTGAGAGGAGAATGGAGGAAAAGGTATTGCAGCATGGCCATCCCTCCTTGGGGGGTGGGGGTGGGTGATTTCTCACTTTCTCTGTGTCTCCTGCAAGTCCATGAGACCTATAACAAAAAAAAAGCTCTAAAAAAAAAAAAAAACACCTTTCTTAGTGCCTCAAACTAGATACTGTCAAGACATGGTATAACAAGTTAGCATGCATTTATTTTTGTGCAAAAAAATAAATGAAACTCATACTTTTTTTTTTGGAGAGGTTTTTGCTATAGGGCGTGTGCACTCGCCAGACAGACAGAGAGAGAGAGGCAGAAAGCAAGAAATCACCCTCCAGGGGGGATGGCCATGCCACAATCCCTTCTCCTCCATTCTCTTCTCAGGATCTTGGGCATGCATGCACACGCGCCCAGCGTGAGGGGTTTTTTTTGGGTTTTTTTTTTTTTTTGGAGAGATTTTCACTATAGGGCACGTGCGCTCACCAGACAGAGAGACATAGAGACAGAAAGCAAGAAATC